CCTGGCGGATTCGGCTCCAGCAAGGGCTGTCGGGGCCTGTGGTTGGGCCCAGAAGGCTTGGTGTTGAGTTCCCTCTGGAATCTTGGGATGTGGGGTGTATCCCAAGCTGGGGTGATTTCTCCCCGCCGTGCTCAGCCTGGGGTTCCCCGTGTTGGATGGACTTCTGTCTCCATCTCTCAGTGCCCTCGGCTATGGCGGTGTAAGAGGCACCCAGGCGGAACTGAGGAGCAGTGACAGCTTTGTCACTGTCCCCACAGCCAGGAGAGCCCTTTGGGGTGCAAAATGGAAGATATTCCCATTGGGAACGTTGTGGTGCCCTGCAGTTAGAATGTGCTAATCCTGATCTCTTGCCTCCAGTCTGCAGGGTTCAGGGGTCTCCTCTCTGCATGGACATAGGGACACTGCTGCCACAGGGCTCTGGTTCCTTCCCCTGTCCCAGTCCCACAGGCTCTGCTCGTGCTGGCTGCGGAGCAGTGGTGTCATTGCTCTGCACACAGGGCTGTGGAGGCAGATCTGGGCCTGGAGAGGTGTTGACAGCCACAGTGATAAATGCAGTCAGACAGGATGGAGTTGAGTGTAGTCATGGGGGTGAGGACCATGGGGACAGCACTTGCCTGAGCTTTGCTGTGGCTGTGGCTGTGCCTGCAGATGGCTGGCCAGTACCAGTCCTGTGGCTGTCCCTGGGGAGAGCTTAGGGCTTGGAGTTTGACTCCTTCAAAGCCTTTTCTCTCTCAGAAGACCCCTGCTTGGGACTGGCATTGTGACCCTGCTGTGCAGCTCTCTGGAGCTGGGAGGGCACATGGGGCTGTACCCAGCTGTAGGTGTCAATGGTGCCTCATTCCCAGCCCTAACCTTGCAGCTCATCCCAAGTGGGCTCTCAAGGGCCTCAGCCTGCCTGTATGCCCTCTTGTCCTGGTGGGACACATGGAATGTTTCCCTGGGCCCTGTCCTTGGAGTCTTGTCTTCTCTTTGCATCCCTGTACCTCTGGGCACTTGGCTGACAGCTTCAGGATCAGCTGTGTCCATCAGCCTGGCTGCTTGCAGGTTGGGTTTGGTGAGGCTGGCTTACAATCAGAGCATCAGCCTGTGGCCATTCTTGTGCTTGGAACAGTTTCCCTAATCTTCAGATAAGAGAAAACATCTGTGAAAACACCATAAAGACATAAATGCCTGGAGAGGTTTGTGTGGGAGAGCAAGAGGTGCTCTCTGAATCCCATCAAGGTCAGCACACCATGGTAGTTGGACCATGTATGTGGGGGTGTTGTGGATGGGTGTGCTGGGCTGGAAGTGGCATGGACAAACTCCCAGGAGCTGATTTTCTTCAGGTTCATGAACACCAGCCCCTCTGGGATCACCTGCAGCTGCCATAGTTGTGTTTTTCTTCCTCTCTTCCTTTTTCCCCAGCTGGTTTCCAGAATGGAGGAGCCACCGTCAATGGAGATGTCTTTCAGGTAAGAGTTCAGCCTCTCCCCCGTCCAGGGGTGCTAAGGGGGATTGGGTGGGTGTGGGGCCAGCACTCTGCTGCTCTGCCCCCAGCATTGACTGGAGTTTGCTGTCCAGCTGCAGAACAGCTACGGTGCTCCTGGAGAGGTCTGGGTCTCATGGGGGAGTCCTGGCTGCTCCATTCTCTTTGAAGAGAAGATGTGTCCCACCTGCCATGACCTGCCCCACACCTGTTTGCAGGTGGCCTGTGCCATGAAGGAGTGCCTGGGCCCTAAGAGCAGGTGAAAAATCCTCCATTCCCCATGGAAGCTCCCTCTCTCCAGCCTGGGTAGCTCTGGAGGCCTCTGTGGCAGGCAGGAGCATCTCTTGGCAGAGGCCAGAGCCAGGACAGGGCTGCCATTGGGACATTCACTTTGTTGACTTGGCAGCATTTCCCATGAAAACCACTTGCCCTCTGGCCAGGGGTGTTTTGGGGAGCCCACCTGGGTCTCAGCTGCCTGTGGGAGCCTCAAGTCCAGCTCTGCTGGCTACAGGAAGCACTGTGCCAGGACCTGATAAGCTCTTCACCACACTCAGTGTCCAGCAGTGGGGCATAGGTATGGTCCATGCCTGGTTTGCAGGATGATAATCACATCAGTAATGGGACAGACTTAATTAGATTGGGGATCTTGGAGAAAGCTGTAATCCCATTGCTGAGCTCAGTGTCAGGCTGGGCGTCCTGGTCAGTGGAAAGTGTTAGGAGAGGTGCTGAGCCAGCATGATGCTAGGCCTGGAGGGGCTGTGCAGGTAGCTCTGCTCAGGAGTGAGGGAAACAGCTCAGTCCTGGGGCTGCCTCAGCCCCAGGAAGGGCCAGGGAATCCCTGGGGAGCATGTCAAAAGGCCAGGGGCTGTCCCATGTTGAGGGGCTGCCCAGAGGATGCAAAAGCTGTACTGCCAGTGAGCAGCAAGTTAAAGAGAGAATGCTGGAAAGCCTTTTTGGGGGACAGGGTCTGTCCTGGTTTTAGCCAGGCCCGAGGCTAGGAGCTGGGAGAGCGGCTTGAGCAGCACTTTGGCACACTGCAGATGTCCCAGGCTGTCACACTTCCTACGTCCTATCTCAGCTTGTCAGTACTGGGAGTGCTGGAGTCCCAATCTCTGCCAGCCCTTGGAGGTGTCTGGGCTGGGATGTGGGAAGAGCTGGAGCTGATGTCCAGGTGCTCATGTCCTGCAGGAGTCCAACGGCCCCACGGATGCCTACGCAGCCATAGCCAAGGCTGACCGGCTGACCCAGGAGCCTGAGAGCATCCGCAAGTGGAGGGAGGAGCAGAAGAAGCGCCTGGAAGAGCTGGGTGAGACCCAGGGCTGTGTGTGGCCGCACTTGTGGCACCTCATAACATGGCAGTTAGGGCCCTTGGGGTCCCTGGTGCATCCCAGAGAGGTGTCTTGTGCCCCTGCCAGAGATCTGCTGTCCTTGGGGCAGTGGTGCCTTTAGGTCAGGCCTCATGGAGACTGGGGATGGGTCTAGGGGGCTGCAGCTGTCCTACTGCCCAGCAGAGCCAGTGGGTGCCTGTCTGGCTGATGGGCTCTGTCTCACTCTGCCCTTAGATGCAGCATCGAAGGTGACTGAGCAGGAGTGGCGTGAGAAGGCCAAGAAGGACCTGGAGGAGTGGAACCTGCGTCAGAATGAGCAGGTGGAGAAGAACCGAGCAAACAATAGGTATGTCAGTGTCAGCATGGCCGTGAGGGCTGTGACAGGAGCTGCTGTGCAGCCAGGTCTGCCTTCCTGGGATGTCTGGGGGTCTCTTTCCCCACAATGGGGCACAGCCCTGCTGGGACAGGGCTTTCCCAAGTGAGGGGAGAGCCCACTGGGCTTGGAGTGGCTCTGGTGGCTGTGCAGAGCCAGGGACCACCGTGGGGTCTCGGTGCCTCCTGTCCCTGCGTGGAGCTCGCAGAGGGCAGGGTTGGGGCACTCTGCTGTCCCCGGTGGGTTCTCCCGGTGCCGTGTGCGCTGCGGTGCGTGGGTCGCGCTCTTCGGGATGAGCTAACCCCCTCTGTTCTCTCTTTCTAACCCTCTGCCTGCCTGTCGCTCCGCCTTGCACTCTCTCTCTGTCTGTGCCCCGGGGCTAGGATCGCTGACAAAGCCTTTTACCAGCAGCCGGACGCCGATATCATTGGCTACGTGTATGTGCCTCTTACACACCATATCCTGCCCCATGGGCTCGGTGGTCCCGCCCCCAGCACTGGCTGCTCTGCCAAGGGAAGGATGGGGGGATACTGGGAGGTACTGGGCTCGAGAATGATGCAGCTGAGCGTTTCGAAATGGTGGAGTCTTAAGGAGCAAGTGGAGCTCCTGGAAATGCCCCTATGGGAGCTGGTTGAAGAATTAGAATCATAGAATATCCTGAGTTGGAAGGGACCCACAAGGATCATCCAAGTCCAACTCCTGGCCCTGCACAGGACACCCCCAAAAACCCATCATGTGCCTGGGAGCATTGTCCAAATGGTCCTTGAGCTCTGTCAGGCTTGTGGCTGTGACCACTGCCCTGGGGAGCTGTTCTAGTGCCCATTCATCCTCTGGGGGAAGAACCTTTTCCTAATATCCAGCGTAAACCTCCCCTGACACAACTTCATGCCATTCCCTTGGGTCGTGTCACTGGTCTCAGAGAGCAGAGGTAAAGCTGTGGACTCTTATGCCTTTTGGGGGTTGGCTCTGGGGGTGGAGAAGCCTTGGGAGCATGCAGACATTTCAGCATCCCTGGATGAATGATATCTTGGGTGAGTGCAGCCAACAGCAGCCTTGAGCTCTGTGTGCCTCTGTGTCCCAGAGGACACTGAGCTTACCAGCTGGAGTAAAGGGGACAGGACGCAGAGACGCGAGAGATTCCCAGACAGTGGGGAAAGTCTCCTTGGAAAGGGCACTGCCAGTGACAACCCTCAATGTCTCTGCAGGGCATCGGAGGAAGCATTCCTGAAGGAATCCAAGGAGGAGACCCCGGGCTCTGAGTGGGAGAAGGTGGCCCAGCTGTGTGATTTCAACCCCAAGAGCAGCAAGCAGAGCAAGGATGTGTCGCGGATGCGCTCGGTGCTCATCTCCCTCAAACAGACGCCCCTGTCCCGCTAGCTGTGCCTGGCACAGCCAGGGCTCACCCAGCCAGGCATGGAGCAGCCAGGAAGGGCCTCCCGCTGCCTGCTCCCTCGGCTGTGCTCCACTCACTGGTTGTAACTCTCCCCATGGTTTTCCTATGCTTAAAAGGTGCATCGGTCTCTTTTTACACTTATTTATAAATCACTGTGGCATTTCCCCGGGAAGTGGCACTGGGTGGCAGAGCTGAGTTAGCAGGGAAGCTCTATCCCGAGCTCTGCGAGGGGTTGTGCCTGGGGCTTGGCAGAGGGAGAGGTGGGAAACCCCATGCCATGTTCCCTGCCTCACCCCCTGCTGGGAATAAACCTGTGGCTGTCCTGGCAGCCCTGTGTCCATGCCCCTGTCCTAGCCCCGAGGCAGGGATCCCAGTGGGACCCTGAGCTGCTGTCTGCCTTTCCCACAGGGTTTAGAGCAGAGCTGGAGCAGGGCTGGGAGGGTGGAGGAACAGTCCTGGCTCAGCAGCACACTGCTGGGTCCTGCAGGGAACGTGGCTGCAGTATGACACTACCAGATACTGAGGGATGTGAGTGCAGGCAGCCGGGCTGGGCCAGGACTGCCAGCAGCTGCCCCAAGCCCAGCAGAACTCTCCCCAGCCTGTCTGTGCACCCCAGAAATCTGGTGGACCTTCAGTAGCACTTGCAGTGTCCATGCCCCATCTGTCCTGCGCTGCTGGCAGCACAGTGGTGCAGGGCACTGGGAGGGAGACATGGGGTAAGTGTGCAGGATGATTTCTGCCACACCCTCATGACCACCAGCACTTGGGAATGTGAGATGTCAGGCTTTGGGAATGCTTGACTTTGCTCTGCTCCTTCTCCTGCTACTAGAACAGGAGATGGAGGCTGTGTGGTTGCAGGGAAGGAGGTAGGAAGTTTCAGCTCCTGTGGGGCAGGTCAAGCCCCCCAGCTCCCTAACCCAGGGATGAATAGGAGGGTTGGGCAGAGTTCTGGTGCCGGGGCTTGTCCTGTTCCTGAGAACAACCCACACATCTGTCTGCAGCTGCTCTGCCCCCTGGATTTTCCCACCTAAGGCAGTGTGGGGAGATGCCTCAGTCCTGCTCCCTGCCCAAACATTGGCTTTCTCTCCTCTGCTTGGCAGGGCTGACACCAGCCCTGGGAACCTGCACAACTCCTGAGTAGCCTTGAGCTTGTGCCCTGGGTCTGGACTGTGGGGGCTTGGGAGGGGCTCACAGCAGCTGGCTGGGGGGACATCGAGCAGAGCCCACAACACATTCACTTCAGCCTCACTGCAGGGCCCTGCTCTACTGGAAAGCAAGTGTGCAGAGCTCAGAGCTCTCCTGGCCTGCAGCTGTGGCTCCAGAGCCAGGAGGATCACCTTATCTGCTGCTACAGCCATTGGGGAGTGACCAGGCACCTGTGGCTGTGGGGCAGGGACTCACCAATGGGTTGGAAAGGGAAATGGGTGAGTAGGGAGTCACTTGGGAGTTGTGTGTTGGGATTGTGCCCCCTGCCCATAGGACTGATTGTTCCTGCCTGGTCCCCCTGCGCTCCAGCATGCGTAGGCAGGGTGGATGCTGATGCAGGATACCTTAGGACTCAGCTGCCTGCCTCTGCCTTTCACTGCAGAGGAGCAGGAAGCACCTCCAGCTGCTTCTGGGGGGCAGTGTGCCCCTCACTCCCCAGCCATGCTCTGTCCCTCCAGGCCCCACAGGGTCCCCAGCTGCCATGTGCTCCGTGTCAGGCCGGGGCAGCCCCCGGGGAGCTGTGCCCACAGCCGTTCTACATCCCCTCAGCTTTGGTATCTGTGACTGTCCAAATTACCTGTTACAATAAACCAACATCTCCAATCCTACAGAGCACTGTTGTCTTTGTTTAGGGGAACCCACAGCCATGAAGCTTCCTGTGGAAAGGATGAGGCTGAAGGAGAAGGGTTGCCTACAGGAAAAATTAGGATGAGGGGAAGGCCAGAGGGTTTGTGCTTGGATGGGGTAGAACCATATCCCAGAGAGCACAGCCAGGCCCCATTTTGGAAATGCAAATTCACAACTTGTTTTCACAGGGAGTTTAATCTCTTGTGCCTTGCTTGCATCACCACAACTTCCAGGCAGCCATGGCTGTTCCCTTTCCTCCCTACACTGTTTACTGTTGTGGCTTCTCAATGTCCTGCAATCCACTATCAGTCAGAATCTTGCTGCAATTCATTTTATTACTCACCAGTTGCAATTAAACAAGTCACACATCCTCCCCAAACTCCTCCCCTATAGACTCTGTCCTGCCAGGACCAAGCCATAAAGAGCTGTTCCTTCCTCATGGGCAGCTCATTTCTCAAATGCTGCTGCACTGCCTGACTACAGCCACACTTCAGTGCAGATCATGACCCAGAGGACACAGTTTTAACAGACTGTGACAGCACCAAGCAGGGACAAGAGGTCTGACAGGGGTGGGGAGCCTTAGTGACACACAACCTTGGTGTTGCAGCAGGTGTTGGGAGGTAGTGGAGTCACCACTCCTGGAAGTGTTTAAGAGACATCTGGACCCAGACCTGGAAGATAGGGTTTAGGGGTTACAGCAGTGACAGGTTACTAGTTGGTCTTGATGACCTTAAAGGTCTCTTCCAACCTTGATGATTCCATGATCAGCCCTCAGGGAACGAAAAAATGCCATGGCCCAAATTTCAGGTTAATTACAGCGTGTATTCACCCCATTTCCAGTGCTCTGGAATACAGAGCCCCTCCAGCAGTGGCTCCAAGATACCACAACAGTCTCCCAGAAATCTCCATCCACAGCCTGGATCTGCCCTGCCAGCTGGAGCTGGTGGGCTCCTGTCTGCAGCTTCTTCTGCCTTCACTGCCTGGATTTCATGGCTGTGGCCGCCATGCCCCCCAGCAGGGCCATGAAGGTGAGGCCCTGGGCTGCAATACGTGCCCTCATCATCAGCTGGGACCGGCGGGTGTTGCCCCTCTTGAAGCTGATCAGTCCATAGGTCAGGATGCCAATGGTGCACAGGCAGCCTGTGGGGACAGGACAGAGCAGGGCAGGGGTGTGAGAAGCAGTTCTTGGATCCCCTCACATCCCCCCAGCACCTACTGACTGGTCCCCTACACCCCAAACCCAAGCCCAGGGGCAGCCCCGTGGGCTAGGGGTCATAATGTATCCTCAGCATAAGAAGGACATGGAACTGTTGGAGCAAGTCCAGAGGAGGCCACAAAGCCGATCAGAGGACTGGAGCACGTTCCTATGAGGACAGGCTACGAGTGGTTGTGTGGAGACCTCAGAGCAACCTGCAGGAGCTGAAGAGGCTCCAGGGAGGCTGCAGAGGGACTCCTGGTTAGGAGCTGTGGTGATAGGACAAGGAGTAATGGGGATAAATTGAAAGAGGGGAAATTATGAGATATTAGGGAGAGGTTGTTTCCTGTGAGGTTGATGAGACACTGGCACAGGTTGCCCAGGGACGTGGTGGCTGCCCCAGCCCTGGCAGTGTTCAAGATCAGGCTGGATGAGGCCTTGAGCAACCTGCTCTGGTGGGAAGGGTCCCTGCCCATGCAGGGGGTTAGGACTAGGTGCTCTTCAAGGCCCATTCCAACCCCTTAACAAAGTAGGACACACCGATCCCTCGCCAACC